ACAATTGTCGAATTCTGGAATGCCTTCAATTCTCGACAATTGTCGGTTACTGGAATGCCTTCAATCCCCCCAACAATCGTGGAAAAACAAGAATACCTTCAATTTCTTGTCAGTTGTTGAAAATACTATATAACTTCAGGATTTTTTTATCAAAACTTGCTTGCACTTCCTAGATAGTGATTATAAGTACGAAAAAAAAATGGTGACATTCATGTAACCAGTGAATACTATAATTTATATATAATAAATGCAAATCTTGGGATTCTTTTTTATAGATGCATATTTACTTGATAAAATTACTTAAACACTCTTGTTATCGGAAAATGAAAAGTGTTTATCGGAGTGTTTCATTGTTTTTCCCTAAAATGTCCCGTCTACAATGCCAATACGTTATTTGAACACGATTATCGATTTTACAATTAAATGTGCAAGATTGTTTTCCTAGGATGTTCTGCTATATACTTGTCCCAGCAGGACTTGTATAGCGCGTTCGATACACATTGTTTTCATAGATAAATTGTTTATTCCAGAAGCCAATAGTTCTAATAACAGGTAATAGGTGATAGCAATAGGTACATACACGAACTATATACACCGATTTATTTGCCCCGATGCACTCCCTGTAGCATCGGAAGCACATTTATTTATTATTTTCGCGCATGCGCAGGTGAGGAAACCTCGGCTTTAAAACAAGGGTAGAAATAAATGTGTTTTGATGTTGCAATAAAGCAAAGAGGGACTGCGAAAATATCTCTAAGGATCATGAAAGAAAATACGAGAGAAAAGCAAAGAACTCATGCACCACAGCCGACACCAGTGCGTGGAAAAATCAATATCAAATCAAAATCAATAATAGCTCTTCTTTTATAAAGTGATGTCACCGGAAACTGCAGTAGATGCCATCGTACCACAACAGATTGAAAGATAAATGTGCTTAATAACACATATCTAATATAACTGTTTCAAGGCAGTCAGCGAGGTATTGATAACTCGCATTTCTCACAGGTAAACAATATTCAAAAGCGGGGGGGGGGGTCGTCACCTGCGCATGCGTCGGATGGCCAGAGCGTGTCATTGTTTACAAACAAGCGTCTACTCATGAGCCTTTGCGTTTTAGCGTGTGTTGTTTCGTCGCTTGGGACTCAATTCCCGCGCGTGCTTAGGTGACAAAGACATTGTTGATAATATGAATTTTAAAATTCATAATATAAAATGTTAGCTACAGCGTGTTATTAATAAGACCTTTTTTTACAAATGGCCGCTGAGATCTCGTTGATAGCGAGACTCACATGACCTTAGTATTCTAGTTCCCAAATAGTTTAACATTTTATACCCTCATCTCGACCACGTCAAAACAACATGGTCACGTATATCCGTTGGACACTTTGGTGCTGCCGCTGGTTGGAGGAGGGGGGGGGGGGCAAGTCGCGTGATTCTCTCGATCTCGGCGAACTATTTGCTATCAGTATGTGGAATTCACGCGAATGCAAATATATTGATATGGATCACGTAATAAGAAATAGTGGTATTACAACTCAAAGAATACACGATCATCATAGACAACAGGGTCTACAGCACACTAACAGATAGTTCACTGACGTCATAGTCAAACTATTTGGGAAAGAAAGATACATGAAACATATTCTTGTATTATAATTAGATTATAATTATATTCAAAGCGGATGGGTCGTCACCTGGCGCATGGCGCGGGAATTGAGTCTCAAGCGACGATAACAACGTACGCTAAAAACGCAAAGGCTCATGG